TAATCACAAGAAAGATGGATAAAACAAATTATTATCACTTACCATGTTGGTAGTTTTGCAGTTATTTTACTCTCTAATAAGCAGCTGCAAATGAAGACACTGAAAATGAATAAAACAAAAAAATGCAGCTTAAAAATTGGCAATAAATTGAATGTACGGTAACTCATATGAACTTTAACAAATTGATACACTGGGTTTATAGACACTGTTTAGTCACAAAGATATCATCAGGAAGAAAAATACCCGAATATGGGAAAGACGGAAAAGATAAATACTATTTGAAACATCATTTATTTTCAACAGATAGTGCTACCGTACATTTCAGTATCGCTTAGAATTACAAAACTGCTAATAAGATAGTAACAAACAGAAAGACAGACCAATCGAATTACACCCTCCTAGCAACCTCACCTAATCATACTTCAACCTAGAAATCTCCACTGCCCAGGAAATTTCAAGTCCGTAACGCGCAATCTCACAGCGAAACTGTTAACATTGACCCATTTTACCCAAAACTTCGCGGCGATGGAGGCGGAGTTCACCGTTACTCCACCCATATGCAAGTCAGTAACAAATTCAACATGTGAAAGTTGGAATGAAGCAATATATGTGCTGTATACAAAAACAGAATTATTTGAAAAGTATGATGCAAATCAGTAAGGTTTATTCCATTAACACAGCAACAATCAATCAATACATAACATCAAAGTATATGTGGACATTTGAAAACAAGCACAAATCCAAAACTGAGAACGAAATACTCTAAATGTAGATAGATGCCTACTACTTATATTTCGTTTTTCAAAACATTTTCGTGTTTTGAAGGATCCAATGATAACCGGCAAGAAAGGAAACCAAGGAAAGGATAGTTATAAATGAATGATCTTACTCCGGGCTTAAAAAAAAATAATGACTTGTTTTTACCATAGCAATAAACAAGAAATCATCATTGTTTAGAAATATAGAAGGTTCAAAATATTCAGTTAGAAACTTCAATTATGACTTTCACTGTTTAATTATGAAAAAGTTTACCAAAAACTCTGTATTTCAATTATCAGTTAATTACATGTAAATGAATTTTGTGATTGATGAACATGTTAACAAACAAAATATGTGAAATTAAGAAAAAATCACTTCAGTCCGGTTTTTTTCGCTGCTTCTTCTGCTTCGGCTTCCATCCTTTCATCATCAACAACTTTAATCAGCTCTTCCACTTCTTCAGTTGGAAGAATCCGATAGTTCACCGTGCGTCCCTGCGCAGACATATTATTTTAGTAAAGGTTATGACATATTATTAAGTACTTTAGTAGGGAATGCAAAGCAAGACAAGTAGTTTCTTCAGTAAAACAAAAAATAATACTCAGAAACGTAGTACCAATTTACTTCATAGCTGATTATTGAAACGCCTCTATATCGATTACATGGACTTACATGCCTTAATCACACAATTAATTTTTTTTTTTTTAATTCAATTTTTTACTACTGTAGTGAAAACGATGATAACCGGTTCAGTAGATAGCTTCATGACAGCAATTTCGATATTTTGAGCACCACTTTGAACCACTTGTGATAAAGCTTTCACTACTAGTTTTAAAACGCTTGCTTCATCCGCTGTTGTCTCGTCATTGTAATGCTCTTCCAGATATTCTCGCACTGGCTTCTCACCACGACCTGTTGAATTTGCCTGAAAAATGCATTTGGTAGCTAACTATGAAAATCTGAGAACTGGAATAGAAAGAGAAGTCAATTCACTGAATGAAATGCTTCTTCTCTAAGCAAAATATCGATATTCAGTATGCATCGAAACAAATGATTTGGATCCATACAAGTTATATCAAAAAATTCAAATAGTATTATGTTATGTTAAAATTCCATAGTATTATGTTAAAATTCCAATTGTGCAGTTGCGCTGAAAACACATGCTACTTGATTTTGTAACTACACGGCAAGAAAACTAACAGAATATTCGTAATAGGCTCCTGAAGGTTCAGTTTTGAATAATCGTGGAGTCCCGTCAAAATCAAAGCCACCAATAAGCATCGATATACCGAATGGTCTTCTTCCTGGGCTTTGTGTAAATCTCTGGAAAATGTAAAAATATATAAGCCAAGCTCTTTAACGTGAACACCATGATAGGCAACCTAAAATAAATAGTCAATAAGCAAACTTGTTTAGTATTCGCAATAAATCGTGCAATGTAGCCCACTGTAACAGGATCTTCAAGAGTCAGCTTATATGACTGACATTCAATTCGTGCTCTATCCACCAAAACGCGTGCATCCGCACTAAGACCTGTAAAAACTTAGATCTTAACTTATATCAGTTTTAATATAGACTAATACAAATATGGTCGTAATAATTATATATATATAGCAATAATTTATGTCGACTTTTATTAAGAGAATTTGAAGAGTGATTTGCGACGGAAGCTAAAAAGGCTATGATGCAAACAAATGAGATTAGAAAAAATCAAGAACGGTAATAAAGATCTATCGTGAAATATAAAATATGGTCTTTCTAAACTTCACGTGAAACAATCAGGCACAACCGTCTAATTAGCTATAAGATAAAGAATAGGTTTAACAATTGATATTTCTGTCTGTGAATACCGAGCATGCAGAGAGGCTAATATTAGAGTTATATAAAAATTATATAAATTACAAGAAAAAAAAATTATATAAAAAAGGACAACCTGCGAATGCCAGCATAACATGCTCATCGATGCTATGAATTTTACGTATGGTGCGATCATCCTGCAATGTTGGTATTGATTTTTTCTCGACACCGATCACAACACAGTTTTTACCTCGCACACCAACCTAGAAAAATCTCTTCACAGAACCCATAATATAAAGAAAAGAAAGACGTGTTAATAGGAAGACAATTCTCTATATAAGAATATTACGATAGGACCAAAAAGCTCTATAACTCTGAAATGAGAATGGATAAAGTGTCACGTCAAAACACTGGGATTACCGCAGTTGATCCTTTCTTAACTGCTTCCTGTGCGTACTCTACTTGAAATAGATGACCGTCCGGCGAGAAGATTGTAATGGCACGGTCATATCGCTCCATCCCTGAAGAGATCAATTTACACGTTCAGTGAATTCCGCAACGGAGACCTTCTTTCGCACCCTAACCTGAAATTGTACAACCATACTAATCGCAACTGAAGTATGAACCCATGACACCGTCGTTACTGCAAGATTAGCGGGTGCAGTGCAATGCAATGCGGTGCAGCATTGCTTCAGAAATTCTTTTCGTTCTTTGCCGATTGCGAGCAAATCTTCTCTTTCTCTATTTTTTACTGACCCTGTAGGCCATATTTCTCAAATCCCAGAATTGCCTGCCACTTGCAAATTTCGGTATTCTGGAATGTCTGTCGGAATTAGCGCTCTGACTAGGAAAATCGTCTGCAAGAAGTATTTCATAGAATCAGATCATGGGATCAGCAGTTTAATAAGATTTTAAGTCCGGCAACTCATCCACTCCTTCCATCACTGACTTCACTTATGCAAAAATGAAAGTATTTAAAAACTTTACGCATTCCAGTTGTCATCTCATCTGTTCTGTCTTTCGGTAGGTTGCTCGCCATGTCTTTCGGTAGGTTGTTCGCCACTTTACGGGTAAAGAAGGTTATTTGCAAATTGTCATTTTGAAATATCACATCTTTATCTTAATTAATATGAAGAGTTCCTGGATAAATATTTGATTATAATTATGACTGATATAATTGAATGATCTGACCATACGAAATTCTGCTGACGCAATCGAGGCTTTAGTCGTTGTTATCCATTTAATAAATGTACTGTGCTTCAGGGTGTCGTATTTGCACTGAAATGTGGACTGCTATGAGGTGGTCTTTCTTAAATAAACTTTGTTAACTTAGATATAGAAAACTTTGTTTCAGTGATAAGTATAATCATCACACTGTGTTTGAGTTCAACACTGTGTTTCCAAGATGTCAAGAATGAGAAATTATCAGAAGATCAAAATGACCACTGGTTACTGCTATCTGGAATTGGCCAAAGTGATTGCAAGGGTGACGAGAATGAATGGATAAAGCCCACTGTTATCGGGTATTTGGTTGGCCAGCTTATCGGTGCTATTTTTGGTATCGCTCTATGTGTCGCATCCATTTACCATTGCATTCTTAAAAATCTAAAATTTCTGTCGTGACCAAAAAAAAGAAAATGTCAGTTGAGTATTTATAATAATTTTCTATTAAGCATAAATATATTTACGTGTGTGACATGTAAGTACTATGTGCGACGTTTCTCATCAGCATTATAGTCATCTTTTATTTATTGGATCAATTTTGAAACAATCTGTACTGGTTAGACAATCATGCTGATTATGTGTTGTTATTTGCAATTGATCCCGTGATTTCTTTGATCTTTGGGATGTGTCACTCTGTTTCATTTCATTCAAGTCTCATGAAATTAGCTCTCCAAGTCTTTAAACTCCCGGCCTAAATTATTTCGAAGAAAGTATACGAAGGTAGCAGTCATGAAGATGTTAGTATTTTCAAAAGATTGTTTCTGTCGCAGTTGTTTCGGCACATATGCAAATTTCTAGAACTTAAGTTTGGTAGAGATTTAAATCAAGATTCCACGGTTGTTTTTGTTCAATTTAGTCAGAGTATCAACATTCGAAATGTTGTCCGGTGGGTTAGTGGTCATTTCTAAAGGTTGAAACAAAAGATGAACAGGTCATAGGGACAAGTTTTCTGATCATTTTGGGATGAGAAGATATGGGAATTAATTTCAACTTAAAATGGATAGTATTTGTTTACAGGAGAAGCAACATAAGTAAAGGGATCATTCGTTAGCTTTGTACACTATCCATATCTTGCCTTGATTTTTCCACATTAGATGGAATAGTGCATTTGTTCGGAACAGCTTGTCATTTAGATGAGATTATCTACTTCATGAAAACACTTCACTTTTCTATTTGTAAATGCTTATCATTGATGTAATCAAATTTCAGTAAACAAATTGATGATGTTGATATGCTTCACTTTGATTCAGTGCCAGAGATTGTCAAATCACGAATTGCATCTGCTCAATTCCAGTCAGGGTTTAGTAAAAGATGACTGGATTATAGAAGATGAAGATGAAAATTGTGATGTCGTGGAAGAAGCTCCATGGAGTCGATATTTCTTCCGTGGCATGATAGTTGGCTTTTTAATTGGTTTGGGTGGTGGTGTTCTGCTCGGCTTTCTTTGTTGGCAAGTTCAAGTGCATAAAAAAACTACAATTTGTAATTGAACAAAGTAATTGATACAAAGTATATCTATATCTGCTTCAAAGCTTTATTAAGCATATCATAAAGTTTTTGTAATATTCTGTTGATGTCATGAAATAGAGTCTGACTGGAGTAGATTGTAGCACCGAATAATTTTTGCTTTGCATTTGATCAACATGTTCGATCAATCTTTATTTTATTGATAGAGATTATCGTTGATCGTAGTTATTCAACAGTATTAGAAAGTTTGAGGATGTAGTTATAGGAGTGCAGTGAATGTCAAATTGCTTTCCAGAAAAGCTAATGTCAGTATAATTATTCCTTTCATAATAAGCATTAATTTATTAACAAGACGCATGATTTGCAGTGCCGCAGAGGAGGTCAGCTTGTAGCAGTAAGTGTTGTTAACGTCGTCAACAATCAAATCTGTGGAGGTGAACTAAATAAGAAGCTGATAATTGTAAACAGTCTAATTGAAGACAAATTCCAACACCTATTTTTGCTAACAAATAATGCAATAAGCTGAACTACATAGAAGACCAATATAAATGAATTTCTTAGTCACATTGGAACATTGTTCAAGAAATGTTCAAAAAAGACAGTCTTTACGGATTTAATGTAATTTTATTTTTAGGTATTACGATTCGTTTTTTCCGGCAATTGGTCATACCATTTTTTCTATTTCATTTCCAATTCTTATCTAAGAGTGTAATGTGAGAAATACTTTTGACTTGTCACACAGTACTTTGTTCAAGCTGGTCGGACAATTTTACAGAGTGTCTTCCAATTTTTATTTCTCAAGTCAACAGTACCGACGACGCCTCCAACATTGTTATTAAATTATCCACCATTGAAGTCTTACTGCATAAAGCCATTTCTGTTTTCATACTTTTTCATACGTTGTCAGATAAATGACAATTAAAATCTGAGGGTGGAACATCGTCACAAGCTCAACTTCATGAGTAAAGAATGTATATGGGTGATATGAATGACCTTTATACTTATATTTGCATACGACATCAAAAGACAGCACAAAAAATATGCAGGTTTCCAAACAAAAAAAAAAAAAAGATCTTGAGCTTGTGGTGCGAAGTAACATCAAATTTCAGTTAATGATTAAATTATTTTGTCATAAATTTAAATTTGTTCGATTCATTTTACATTTTAAAAAACTTCCTATCCACCTTTTATTTTAGAATTTTCATTCTTTTTTTTCACTACTAGAAAGTTTGCCCACAGTACTCGTAGTATTTATTAAAGTTGTTTAATATTTAGTTTTATTTAAGAAAATGCAAGATTTGTTTAATCGAAATTAGTGGCCTATTATTTATCAATTCTTACTTTTTTTTTCCATGCCATACTCCATTTTATCAGGAAGAAGTTTCTGACTGCGGATGAGTTATTTTTTTTAGCATTCAGCTAATGCGACTTATTGCGTCTCCTGATGTATGTCATATCAAATTATTGTATCAGAAACCTTTTTAAAGAAATGCGGACCTTAAAGGGATGGAGCAAACCAGAAAAAGGATGGTGGATCAAAATTTGGTACTTTTCATAAATATGAAAAAGGAATGGAAGCAGTTTGTCCGCTTATAGCATTTTCTTTGACACTCTTTTCAAATTATTTTATGCATAAAAATGATTTTTTTACTCTAAGAATACAATGAAATTAATTATTCAAAAACAGTATTCATTCAGTAATCATTCAAAAAAAACAAGGAATTTTCGGAATACGGGTGTATATGGGTGGTCAGATGTCAAAGTTTAAACATGAAGTTATGTAGATTTCATCTTCATTCCTTAATACTTGATTTTTATTAAAATATTCATTAAAGTATTACAATAGAAAAATTGCTACATGCCACAACTGTAAATATGCTTGACTTTACCATAACTTTCTGAAATCATATGAAATGTTTTTGGGTAAGTTTATATATTATCTTCTTTAATTGACTGTCATAATATAATGAAATAAATGATTTGTAACTTCGAGTCATTGGTTGAAAATGAAATTTAACTAAACTGCAATCAGAGAAAACTATCATCATAGAAAAATCATGTTCCACAATTTCTCAAATGTTATATACGGAAGCCACTACTGGCATATGTCATATTTTAAATTGTTGACAGAAAATAGTAGCATTGAATAACACAAATCAACTAATCTTATTTATCCACCAAAATAACATTGTCACTGATATAATTAACTTTATTAAGTAAATCAAAATTTAATTAAATGGCATGCACATTGGCTAACTGTGCACTTAAAATTGTAACTTTCAAATCGCATGGAGTGTTATGTGAAAGTGAAGCAAACTGTGTAGGTGTATGTAAGTCAACTTTTATTTAATGGTTTTATTGATCAAATTTGCTGTAATTGGTGTCTAACTAATAGTTTTCTCTAGTTTTTTTTTTTTAGTTAGACATAAAAGCTTTCATGTATCTCAAAACATCTTAGAAATTTTCGTCTAAGAACTATCATGACAAAGTTGCTCAAACCTGGGATAAGAGTTCCTTGATCTATGAGGTCACGTAACTTTTATTCTGATGAAAGCGGACTGCCTCTATAACATGATAGTTATCACAAAAATAATTGCTATTTAAAAATTATACTGAACAGGTAAGTAAACAAAAAAAGTTTTTTCAAGCTTCACGTAGAAGAATGAGCCAAGCTCATCATAGCTCTCTGGCTTTTATGCGTTAAAAAACAAGCACTGCATGTCATATTTGAATCAGATTTTTATTTTTTACTGCTTACGATCTGTTTTCAAAGTGTTATGGAACACTAACCAATCCTGATTAGTAATTGGGAAAAGACATTTCAATTGGTAGTATTAGTGATTTCCAGAATTTTCATCTGATAAAACAGATAATAAAAAGATCAGTTATTTTTTCTAAATCAATTTCACGCAACATTTCATTCTATCATCATTTTTTAAATTTCACATATGTTCACAGTGAATATATTATTGTTATTACTGCCTTTTTTTTCCTTTCATTCGCAAATATAACCTCCGTTGTAATTTTTTTCTTAGCATTTCAGTTATCACAAATGAATATGAAAATATAAATATAAATAATATTGAAATTAATGTTAAATTATGAAATATAAAAATGTAAAACATTAAAAAATGAAGCAAAAAATATGTGTAAAATAAAATGTCAATAAATAGAAGCAATTTAATATAAGTTATAAGAAAATCTTAGTTCAGTCATTTTTCTCAACTGTCGTATTTGGATACCAAATATTTTTTTTTTTCATTTCATGTCGGTGTTTCTTCACTCATGCCATTAAGACCACCGAATTTCTAGTTGAAGAAGGTATAAGTATGCCTAATCTACATAGACATAGTATATTCTCTTTTCCGCTTAATAAAATTTTCGCTCAAGCATTACTGATAATTTTGAAATGGTTAAAAATTCAAATCGGCAAACATTAATAACCATCCGTCCAACTAATGCGACGTAGTATTACTGTCTTACCGCTTATGCGCTTATTTCTACCATCACTACTGCTACTGCTCATATATGCAAATTACGCCATTATAAAAGAAAAATTGTCAACTGACAATGGTCGGTAGAATCAAAATGTTTTCCCATCCTCCCAGCCAGTGCCACAATTATTTTAAAGTCTGATGAGCAATTGTCCACTCTGAGAAGTAACATTTGTTCATGTACGCAAATTTATTCAATAAATGTATGAGTTGCTGTGAACATATCAAGTCATTTCACACATTCTTTCGGGTTTGGATTGTTTTCTGAGAGATACGAAGACATTGTTGCATGATGATTGCCAGCTGACGTGGTTACCCGTTTTTGTCATACCATTTATGTCATATCATCATTCCAGATCATCATCATACGTGATCTGAGATATCGATCTGAGATATCATTCGTACTTACAAAGAATTTAACCAAAATTGATAGACTTTCAATATAAGTTCTATATTTTTCAAATCCAACCAAGTTAATGGTACATTCATGAAGTTACTTACTGATATGAATTACCTCTGGAACATTTGCTCTGAATACTAATTAAGCTAATTGCCTTCTTTCTAGGTGCCTGCCAATTAAGTTCTGTTTCGAGACCTTAATAAAATAGTATTTTGGTGAAAAATATTTCAACTATATGTTCATATCATTTTCGGATAGCTATTTCAGAACCAGTTAAGAATTGACCGTGATATAGAATTTTCTCGAAATTTTCCCAGGTTTTCCGTTTCTCAAAGTTTTCTCTGTTTGGATTAATGATTTACTCAAACCAGATCGGGATGCAAACCATTTAACTTACCCATTTAAGATAAAAAATCTTTAGCTTTATGCGAGAGGTAAAAGTTGAATATATAGGAATAAAACAACCCAATCTAAAAAATGTCTCTCTATTTTCGGAATTTTTTTGAATCAGTTACTGGTCGGTTTAAAATCATTTTCGTAATTTCACAAACAGTAAATTATAGCTATTCGCAACTTTCTACATTAAACATATTTTAGATTCATGTTTACACAGCTTTTGTATGCGAAATTACGAATTATGAAATGTATTTCTTTTTTGGAAAAGTGTAACAGTGTTCATTTCATTACCGTTAAATCCATATGAAGACTATCAGTCCGAAAAAATGAATACTCCTCCATCTCATCATTACATTTCATTAATTATTGTTATTAATTAGTTCACTAAATATTTACATTTTCTTCATACCAATACACAATCGTGATCTTATTATTAAAGTAAGTCACATAAGGAAAAATAAAATTCTAGTAATCACCTATTTATTAAATTGGCAATAATAAGGAATCTGTGTTGTCTTAAAACATCCCGAGACTCCTTGGATACTGCAACTGTTCAAAACAGATTAGCAAGTTGGTCCAATTATTTTATACTGTAACGTGTTTGCAAACTAAACTAATCTTTGCTCATAGAAACAATTCTTTTCAACCAGCCTTGCTTATAGCTCATTTTCTCCCGTTTGGTTAAAAAACAGCAGTAATTGCGTTTAATTGCTTGAATTGTATTTCGTTTGGA